GACTCCACCAGAAGCCTACTAGAACTGATCCAAGAATTCAGCCAAGTTGCAGGGTACAAAATCAACGTACAGAAATCGGTTGCATTTTTATACACCAATAATGAAGCAACAGAAAGAGAAATCAAGAAACTGATCCCCTTCACAATTGCACAAAAAACCATAAAATACCTCGGAATAAACCTAACCAAGGATACAAGAGATCTGTATGATGAAAACTATAGAAAACTTATGAAGGAAATTGAAGAAGACACAAAGAAATGGAAAAACATTCCATGCTCATGGATAGGAAGAATAAATATAGTTAAGATGTCATTACTACCTAAAGCACTCTACACATTCAATGCAATTCCAATCAAAATTGCACCAGCATACTTCTCAAAACTAGAACAAACTATCCAAAAATTTGTATGGAACCACAAAAGACCCCGAATAGCCAAAGTAATACTGAAAAATAAAACCAAAACGGGAGGTATCACCATCCCAGACTTCAGCCTCTACTACAAAGCTGTCATCCTCAAGACAGTATGGTATTGGCACAAAAACAGACACATAGACCAATGGAACAGAATTGAGAACTCAGAAGTGGACCCAAAAGTATACAGCCAACTGATCTTTGACAAAGCAGGAAAGAATATCCAATGGAAAAAAGACAGCCTTTTTAACAGATGGTGTTGGGAGAACTGGACAGCAACATGCAGAAGAATGAAACTAGATCATTTTCTCACACCATGCACAAAAATCAACTCAAAATGGATAAAGGACCTGAACGTGAGACAGGAAACTATCAACACCCTAGAGGAGAAAGCAGGAAACAACCTCCTTGACCTCCACCGCAGCAACTTCTTACTTGACACATCCCCAAAAGCAAGGGAATCAAGAGCAAAAATAAACTGTTGGGACCTCATCAAGATTAAAAGCTTCTGCACAGCCAAGGAAACAACCCAGAAAATTAATAGGCAACCAACGGAATGGGAAAAGATAGTTGCAAATGACATATCAGATAAAGGGTTAATATCCAGAATCTATAAGGAACTCACCAAACTACACGCCCGAAAAACAAACAACCCAGTGAAGAAATGGGCAGAAGACATGAACAGACACTTCTCCAAAGAGGACATCCAGATGGCCAACAGACACATGAAACGATGCTCAGCATCCCTCCTCATCAGGGAAATACAAATCAAAACCACACTGAGATACCACCTCACGCCAGTCAGAGTGGCTAAAATGAGCAAATCAGAGAACTCTAGATGCTGGCGAGGATGTGGAGAAACGGGCACCCTCCTACACTGTTGGTGGGAATGTAAACTGGTACAGCCCCTCTGGAAAACAGTGTGGAGGTTCCTCAGGAAACTAACAATAGAACTCCCTTATGACCCAGCAATAGCACTGCTAGGAATTTACCCAAGGGATACAGAAATGCTGAGGCATAGGAGCACATGTACCCCAATGTTCATAGCAGCACTCTCCACAATAGCTAAAACATGGAAAGAGCCTAAGTGTCCATCAACAGATGAATGGATCAAGAAGATGTGGTTTATCTATACCATGGAATACTACATGGCAATGAGAAACAATGAAATCTGGCCATGTGTAGCAACATGGATGGACCTTGAGGGTGTTATGCTGAGCGAAATAAGTCAGGCAGAGAAGGACAAATATCATATGTTTGCACGTATAGGAGGATTAGGAGGAACTTGACGGAGGAACAAGGGGGAGAAGAAGGGCGGAAATGGTGGGGGAAAGGGAGAGAGGCAAACCATGAGAGACTCTTGAATGCTGACAAGAACTGAGGACTGATGGATGTGGGGGGGAGGGGGGGATGGGCATAGAGGAGGACACTTGTGGGGATGAGCACTGAGTGTTATGTGGAAACTAATTTGACAATAAACTATTTGTAAAAAAAAATTTAAAAAATTAAAAAAATTAAAAAAAATACAGGAAATATTGTATCATTGGAACTAGAAACTACCTGGCACTTACTCTTTAATACCTACTTCTTGGTTACAGTATTTATGAATATTTGTATTCACATATAAAAAAATGACCCTCGGAAATTTTTAGGGATTTATTTATGGTATTGTTTATGGTAGTCAACAAACCAATAACCAAGAAACAATGCTTAATTATCTCACCTACAAATCCTATAGTAGACAGCGTGTGATGATGAGAACTATTCCCTTTCCTAAAAACAACAACAAAAAGTGCTGAATTACTTTTTTACAGTAATAAAACTATCAAAAGGAAAGGAATATAAAAGTATAAAGGAAAAGTTGCTTTACTTTAGGGAGCATTAGGGAGTAAGATAAAAACAAAGGTTTAAGTTAGCAATTAGGAAAAATGATTTTACAAAAAGATCAGTCAGAGGAGGCCATCGTTTGCTTACTGGAGAGTGATATTACAGTTACCAGGCACATTTATGAATATGAAGGTGTGTTTATAGACAGAAGAGTAAAAGTCCAATTTAATGCAGGAGATAGATCAGAGGCTCCAAAGGAATGCTTGCAACCTTTTCACCTAGACAATGGTGACTTTGGTCAAACTAAAGAAAGTAAAAAGGGCTTTAATAAAATTCTCTTTCTACTAAAGCTTTTCTAAATGGATTTGTCCAGCAAACTAAAACAAGCAAGATACCTTGCTGCCTTTGTAGTATCCAAATAAGATTATATTTTTTACTCATATTAAATCAATTTATACATTTTCATAATGGATTATTACATATATCACAGACTATCTGTAAACATGCTCAGTTTATGCTGGATCAAGTACAGCTCATTCACAAACTAGGATAAACTTCCTAGTGTCTTAAGTTTTAAAGTTTTTCTTTCTACTTATATTTGTATATTATTTATACTATCTATATAATCTTAGCCATTTCCTTATCAGTAAGCCATACTCTGTTTTTCAATCTACCACTGGCTTTAGGATAAACAATTCTAAAATTTGTATGGAACCACAAAATAGCCAAAGCAACCTTGAAAAAGAAAAGCAAAGCTGGAGGCATCATGATTCAGGACTTCAAGTTATATTACAAAGCTATAGTAATTAAGACAGTATGGTACTGGCACAAAAATAGACACATATATCAATGGAAGAGAACAGGAAACCCAGAGGGTTGCCTGAATGGCTCAGTCAATTAAGCCTCTGACTTTAGCTCAGGACATGATTCCACGGTTCCTGAGTTTGAGCCCTGCATCAGGATCTCTGCTTGTCAGCACAGAGCCAGTTTCGGATCCTGTCTCCCTCTTTCTCTCTGTCCCTCCCCAACTCAGTCTCTCTCTCTCAAAAATAAACATTTAAAAAATATAAATAATGGTTGTAACTACTGTTCTTACTATATATATGTATTTATAAATATAAATATATATATATATATATAAAACCTAGAAATGAATGCACAACTATGTGGTCAATTAATCTTCCACAAAGTAGGAAAGAGTATCCAATGGGTAAAAGAATGTCTCTTCAACAAACAGTGTTGACAGCAACACTCAAAGGAATGAAACTGGACCATTTTCTTATACCATACACAAAAATAAATTCAAAATGAATGAAAAACCTAAACGTGAGACAAAAACCATCAAAATCCCAGAGAAGAACACAAGCAATAATTCCTTTGACATTGGCCTTAGCAACTTCTTACTACATATGCCTCCTGAGGCAAGGAAAACAAAAGCAAAAATAAACTATTGGGACCTCATCAAGATAAAAAGCTTCTGCACATTGAAGAAAACAATCAGCAAATCTAAAAGGCAGCCTATGGAATGGGAAGATATTTACAAATGACATATCTGAGAAAGCGTTAGTATCAAAAATATATAAAGAACTTCTAAAACTCAATACCCAAAATCAAATAATCCAGTTAAGAAATAGGCAGAAGACATGAATAGACATTTTTCCAAGGAAGACATCTAGATGACTGTCATACACATGGAAAAATCCTCAACATCACTGATCATCAGTGATGTTGATGATGATGATGATGATGATGATGTAAATCAAAACTACTATAAGATATCTCATACCTCTCATAATGGCCAAAATCAACAACACAAGAAACAACAGGTGTTAGCAAGGATGAGGAGAAAGGGGAACCTTCTTACACTGTTGGCGGGAATGCAAACTGGTACAGCCACCCTGGAAAACAGCATGGAGTTTCCCCAAAAAATTAAAAATAGGACTACCCTGTAATCCAGCAATTGCAATACTAGGTATTTACCCAAAGTTTACAAAAATATTAATTTAAAGGGATACATGTGCCCCAATGTTTATAGCACTATCAACAATAGCCTACTTATGGAAAGGGCCCAAATGTCCACTTACTGAAGAATGGATAAATACGTGGTATATATATGTGTATATATATGGAATATTATTCAACCAAAGACAAGAATGAAATTTTGGCATTTGCAGTGATGTGGATGGAGTTACAGAGTATTTAGGCTAAGCGAAATAAGTCAGTGAAAGACAAATACCATATGGTTTCACTCATATATGGAATTTAAGAAATAAAACAAATGGTCATAAGGGGAAAATGAGAGGCAAACCAAGAAACAGACTCTTAACTATAGAAAACGAACTGATGGTTACCAGAGGGGAAGTGGATCGGGGTGGGGTGGGGCAGATGGGTAAAATAGGTGATGGTGATTAAGGAGTGCACTTGTGAAAAGCACCAGGTATTGTATGTAAGTGTTGAATCACTAAATTATACACCTGAAGTTAATATTATACTACATGTTAATTAACTGGGATTTAAATTAAAACTCTAAAATTTTTTAAATTTTAAAAATGTTTCAAAAGAAACAACAACAAAAAAGACTAACTTCTGGCTTCTTTCTCTTGAGGTATACATGACTTGCACAATTCAATCTGGTCAGCGTCTGCTGGGTGACTATAAGAAATGAAGGTGAGGCTGGGATGCACTAGGATTGATCCCGAGTTCAGGAAAAGTAATTAGACATGAGAACAACGCCAAGGTAAACTAGCCATCGTTTACTTACAGCTGACACGTGCTGTAAGAGACACATGACATCAATCATGTCTGCGAGGATAAGGAGTCTGGTAACTGCAGCCAACAAGGCACGGGCAGCTTGAACCACAGCCTCCCTTTTTGGGAGATAACAGGGGTCATCTGCAAATCTCTCAGCCGATACTTTCAGAGCTTCACCTGAAAAACACAACCCAAAATAATATTCTTTCAGTTTCAGCTATACCTGTGTAAGTATTTATCATCCTAATTTCAAGTACATTCTATGACTGAACATAATATTAAAATAGTGTTAGTTGACACTAGAACACTGTCTCTTAATAAACAATGGAGTTTAAAATTGACATTTCTCTTTGATAAATGCTCTGGAGTTTAAGAAGCACAATGCCATTTTCCTGCAAGAGAATTGTGCTCCATTGACTAGCAACATCTAGTAAAACTGCTGTCAACTTCTGAATCTCATTTGCTGTGAAAGGTTTCATTACTAAGACTTCAATTGGAAACAATCTTGTTTATAAAAATAAGGTAAATCTTCATTAAATTACTTTCCAATTCAATGTTAGAAAAGAGCTAGCCTTCTCTGATAAAAATTTAACATAGGCTGATTTATCCTAAACTGTCAATATAATAACCTATCTCCTAAATTTAGCCACAAATTATATTTCATAGTACATAATTTTTAGAGAAATATGTCTACCATTTTTAAGGTCTTTTTCACTGAAAATATATTTTATGATAAAAGCAGTGTGTACTCATTCATTTTTAAAAGTTCACAGTTCAGAAAGCTATCAAATGAAAAGTTTCCTTTTTACTGCTCTCCACTAACATAATTGTTTACCACATCCACTATGTTTTAAGTCACTCAATTTAAACTTGCTTTTATTATGAAACCACTACATGCTCATTACTTTTAAGTAATTCGCCATACTGAAGAGTATAAAGTGAAGACAATTTTCATAAAGTCTCCATATGAATCACCTGAAAATACTCCTGGAGTTCTTGTATATCCACCCAGAAATTTTTCCATGAATGTATGTTTTATGTGTGTGCATATGCATATATGCTTATTTATATGTATATGTTTATATGTATGTTTAAATGTATGTATGTATTTATGAATATATTCACACATTCATATATATGTATATATAAGGAAAGATTCTGTCATAATAGAGACATTTTATAAGTTAAATGGGACATACAGAAGATATAAATCCTTTTCACAAATATTTTCATACTATAAAAACTTTCTACAATTGTTTTTTTCACTTATCAATTTATTTTCTTTTCATGCTGGGATATAATTGACCAGGAGATATTAAAGTATGCACAGTAACTTACCATGTGGGCTCTGAAGCTGTTCTGCTTCAGCATCTGTCCTACTACCTCAGACAACTTCTTTATGCCTTAATTTTTCCCCTGCAAATGGAACTAATAATAATAATACCTACAATTTTTATAAAAATTAAATAAGAACAGTGCTTTGAGCTTACTAAAGAGTTGATTAGCTTTTGTCATTCTTTTTAATACTTGAATAAAGTTCCATTTTATTGATATACTATATCTTATTTTACTAGACTTCTATTAAACACATAAATAATTTTCAGCATTTTCCTATTTCAAACAGTAATGCAAAGAATGACACATAGTTTTGCATACATGAGCAAACTTGGCTGGATAATAAACTCTTAAAAGTGGAATTGCTGAGTCAAGAGGCAAATGAATTTTAAGGTTTGATACATACTGTCAAAAAATTCTCCAAAACAGAGCCATCTCACCAATAATATATTAAAGGGCATGTCTTATCTACTCTACTCCATGAATATTTTAGTTTTTATATATTCATGAATGTCAGCATAATGAAAATGAAATGGATTTTTTAAATTAAATATAACAAAGAACAGTGTTCCTTATAATGAACAGAACCTATGAAGAAGGTCTGAGACTATCTCAACATGTTAGTATAAACATGTTAGCTCTCTTAGAAATACTAAGCTAGGAATCAGACTATTAAGTCAGACACCTCTGAGATCAAATTCTTATCTGCCTCTCAGCTCTGAGACCTTGTACGCTTAAACACTTTCAGTGTCCTCATGTAATGGAATGTGATAAAAATATTACTTATTTCACAGTGTTTCTGAGATGGTTAAATGAGATATAATTCAAAATATATATTTAGTGCAGTATCTGAACATGGAAAGCACTCAACAAATATTAGCTGTTATTTTCTCAGGAAATTTCTAGTAGAGTTGGTAAATTTTTAAGACCAGGAAATGGTGATTTTTATGTGTTTCTCTGCAAGTTAGAATTTCTGTGAGAAGACTAAAAATTAAAGTGACCTTGGAAATTTAGAGAGTAGATGAATTCCCACATAAAAGATTATTTTTTTCTTGTCATGATTCTGAATTGGAAAGTTAAGATAGCCTTTATAGAATACAGTCATTGACTTTACTATAACTAAATATACATCAAAAAAGAATTATGTGTTGTTGACTAAAAATGTTGGGATGTTCAGTGAAGAAATGGGCAGAAGATATGAACAGACACTTCTCCAAAGAGGACATCCAGATGGCCAACAGACACATGAAAGGATCCCTCCTCATCAGGGAAATACAAATCAAAATCACACTGAGATACCACCTCACGTCAGTCCGAGTGGCTAAAATGAGCAAATCAGAGAACTCTAGATGCTGGCAAGGATGTGGAGAAACAGGCACCCTCCTACACTGTTGGTGGGAATGTAAACTGGTACAGCCCCTCTGGAAAACAGTGTGGAGGTTCCTCAGGAAACTAACAATAGAACTCCCCTAGGACCCAGTCATAGCACTGCTAGGAATTTACCCAAGGGATACAGAAGTGCTGATGCATAGGAGCACATGTACCCCAATGTTCAGAGCAGCACTCTCCACAATAGCCAAAACATGGAAAGAGCCTAAGTGTCCATCAACGGATGAATGGATCAAGAAGGTGTGGTTTATCTATACCATGGAATACTACATGGCAATGAGAAACAATGAAATCTGGCCATGTGTAGCAACATGGATGGACCTTGAGGGTGTTATGCTGAGCGAAATAAGTCAGGCAGAGAAGGACAAATATCATATGTTTGCACATACTTCTGGTCCCAATTTAAGCATCACTTTCTTGGTGAAGCCTCCAATCCCCCCTTACCAAGAGTGGTCTCACAATAAGGAAGATTTCACAGTAAGATTCTATGCTTCCTATGATAACTATCCATCATCATGTACTGTACTGTAATGACTTATATCAAAGCCTGTCTTTAATTCTAAGTCAAAACACTAGTGAGAGAATGGCTAAAATTAACAACATAAGAAATAACAGGTGTTGGTGAGGATGTAGAGAAAGGGGGAACCCTCTTACACTGTTGGTGGGAAAACAAACTGATGTAGCCATTCTAGAAAACAGTGTGGATGTTCCTCATAAGTTAAAAATAGAACTACCCTATGATCCAGCAATTGCACTACTAAGTTTTACCCAAAGGATACAAAAATATTAATTCAAAGGAATACATGAAACCTGATGTTTATAGCAACATAACCAACCATAACCAAATTTTGGGAAGAGCCCAAATGTCCATCAACTGATGAATGGATAAAGATGGGATATATATGTATGTGTGTGCATATATAATATATACACATATATTATATATGTGAAATATTATTCAGCCATAAAAAAGAATGAAATCTTGCCATTTGCAACAATTGTATAGAGCTAGAAAGTATTATGCTAAGCAAAATAAGTCAATCAGAGAAGACAAGTATAATATGATTTCACTCATATATGGAATTTAAGAAACAAAACAGATGAACACGGAGGGGGGAAAAGAGAGAAAAAAACCAGAAAACAGACTCATAACTACACAGAACAAACTGGGGACTATAGGAGAAGGGACGTAGGTAGAAGAATGGGTTAAATAGGTGATAGGTATTAAGGAGGGCACTTGTGATGAACACCAGATATTGTATGTAAGTGATAAATCACTACATTCTATGCTTGAAACTAATATTATATTGTATTTTAACTGGAATTTAATAAAAGCTTGAAAAAGAATAAAATAAGACGACTAGTGAGAATAAGAGCTGCATTGGTCCTGGTCACCACAGTATTCCCAGGTTAGAACAGTGCTTACTCTACTGCATATATCCAATATTTAATGTGTGTTGTGAATGAGTATGTGAATGAACATTATTCAATTTTCCTTTAGTAAACATATGTTGTTCCCTATATAACACAGCTCCATCCTAGGCATCCAAGATATAGAGACTAATATAATGCAGTTTTGAAGCCTAGTAATTTCACAAATGAGAGCCAACAAATATTATGATACAATCTAAGCAGGGCTCAAGCAGAGACCTATGCAAAAGCACAGAGAAGTACCTACCTCTGCCTGAGGCATGGAAGGACACATAGAGAAATGTTCAAGGTAAGAGCAACATGTTCCAACTATTTATTATCAAAGATAGCTGGTTTATATCATTTAGCCAGTTCACAGCCTGTCTTATGTCAGTAAAAAAATGGCTGTTTTCTGAACAGAAAAAAAGTACAGCAAACTCCTTTCTGTCTACAATATTTGCATCCATGTGTTATAAAGTCCACACATGAGAAGTCTATTATTTTGTAATATCATTCCCAATCTTTCTTTTAATGCCTTAAGTCAGAAATTTAATGTGTATTTTTAAAATTTTCACTTTTAAAATACATACAAATAAACTATATCTTTCCTTCAAGAAATCCCATTCCATATTACAGAGCAACTTATAAAGCTCTTGAAAATGCTACAAGAACTAGTTTCAGAAAGTTTTATACTAGATTTATTTTATTCCTTTCCTATCAAATATACTCTGTTTAATCTTCAAAAAAATCAGTTATGAAATGCCTGCTTGAATGATGTACTGAAGTATATACTCTACAAAGATATGTATAGATATATTTTTTACATATATTAAGTATAATATGTGAAAACCTCTGAATGCACAAAAATCTGATATGTAAAAAATTTATATGATCATATAAACTCCAGAAGTAAAAGAAAAAATATTGGCTAAATAGACACATTACTAAATATTTTCACTTTATAGGTTACTTGTAGATTCTTTTAAATAGTAAGTTCCTTTGCCACATTCAAAAGTACAACTCCACTTTCTAGAAGTGGTTGT